GGCCGATTTGGCTTCAAGGCGGGATGGGTTTCAGCCAAAATGGGCCAGACCCCCCGAGCCGAGCCATTCCCACTCTGCTGGCCAAGGCGGCAGAGTTGCGGTTGGGCGGCACTTTGGCCATGCAGACGATGGTGGAGGGTAGCAGCAGGAGCTGCGCTGGTTTGTACATCTGCGCCTGCGGGAAGGAATCCCTTTGCAAAAGTGTTTTGGGGATCCTTCCCGGGCAGAGCCTTCTGCTGGGCTGTCTGTGCTTGGGAAGGACTTTGCACGTGCCACATCCCCACGTGTGGACGCTGGCAGAGACCTGGCGTTATTTAGCCTCCACCCCCCTCTCAGGCAGTGAGATCCCCTCCATCCCGAGCGCTGTTCATTGCGCACGGGCAGCACGATGGAGGCAGTACAGCCCACAGCAGCGCCTGGCACCTGCCCCATGCTGTGACAGCCTGGCTTGCAGGTGGGGACACCTCTGGGCAAGGTGGGGACACCCCTGGGAGCGCAGCACTCCCATCATGGGGTGAGGGTGGGCAGGTCTACCAACATCAAACCGTGCCATGGGATGGACGTGTCTCCTTGCCAAGGAGAGCAGGCCCAGGGCAGGCAGGTCAGCACCCTTCCTTGGTGTTGGGCAGGCAATGAACCCCTTCCTTTGGCACTGCCACCCCAGCTTCTCCGTGCCCTCTTGTGTTCCTCAGGCCATGGACACGCTGCAGGAGCTGCTCACCACCATATGCTCCCTGCAAACCACCGTCGAGGCCTTCCAGGAGGAGCTGCAGCTCTTGAAGGACAATTTGCAGAAGGTGCATACAGGGAGCAGAACGGTTGGGCTCCCCGGGGCGGGGGGGCCTGCACGGATGGCAAGGGGGAGCGGGGGGACGGGGAGTGAGGTCCCAAACCCGGGCTCCCTTCCACCTCAAAGCTAAGCTGGGAGATGTGGGATCTGCCCCGGAGGCCTGGGGCTTTGGACAGAGGCTGCCTGCAGCTGCGGAGCCCAACGCCGGCCTGGGCTGGGCACTGCCGATCCCTGCCGGCGCCGGTCCCTGCCGACGCTGCTCCCC